TTCACAAAAATTTTCAAAATCGATTACATTCAACTCATTCTCGGCATCAACTAATTCATCACTGAATAACTTGTAAATGTCTTTTGAATAATGTTGAAGCTCTTGAATACAGAAGTTTATTTTATCTGGCATTTCATGTGCACGGTTACCTGATGGAAGAGTGCTTATTTTATTTGGCTGGTAGATTTGTGGAGTTGGGTCATGTCCGATTAAAAAATTGTAAACGGGTTCATAAAACTCTTGACCGAATTTAACAAGGCATCGTATTTGGAGATTAAGTCGTTTATCCGTAAGCCATTTAAGAAAAGTTTTCCATTTATGTAAGTATGATTTTGGAACATTTTTGGCGTTTTCAAGTTGTTTGATGAAAAATTGTGCAAAACAAATATGAGCTTCGCGTCTATCAAGGAATTGTTTTGCAGTTTTAAGTTCAAATAACCACCGTTGGTGAATAGGTTGTTGATACTTGCTCATTTCAAAATTAAAAAGCGCTTTATAAAGTTTTTTTATTATTTCAGATTTTAGATTTAACGGGCTGTCCTTATCTGAAAGATCGTATCCATCATGAAGGTGAAAAGCAAGATTAAGTAAATTAAATGGATGTTCTTTTAATGATAATCCCTTAATAGTATCTAACTTTCCAAACGCTTTATTTTCAAAATTCATTAGAGCAATATGGGTTGCGTGTAATCCACAAGGTATTCGAAATGATTTGGAGGCTGCTAATAAATTAAATTTAGCGATTGCACCATTGGCTTCCGAAGACATATAAGCCGTATTGTCAGTTAGCCAAAAATGACACATTTTGGGATCAATTCCTTTTTGTTTACACATTTCATATACTGTAGTCGAAATTGTTTCTGCATTACAATGTGTTATATCGGTTACTTTGGCGACGGTAATTATTGGCTTTTCTTTAATATTATTCCAATATGAAAAACAAATAATTAATACTTTCTTTTCACCCCGCGTATTTTCATCGGCCATAATACCATAACCGAAAAACCTAGAAGAAGTCTCTTTAGGACTATTTTGATTAGAAGTTATAGCTGCGATTTCATTATTCCATCGTGACAAAGTCGTTGATGTTATCCAATGTTGTGGTGTCTCTCCAGTCAAGAATTGATATACGGCTTTAGTACATTCTACTGTTGCGTGTATTGAGGTTTGCCCTATATTACTTATATCAGCAGCTAATTTTACAAAATTGGCATTATACTCTTTATTATTAGATTTAAATAATTTGCTAGCTGCACGTCGAAATTGAGCAGGACGAATTTGTTTTGCTTTACGAATAGCAGATCGAAATTTTGAAACTCGTTTTAGTCTTGACTGTTTTGCTCTTGCTATTCGTACAGAGAATGAATGGCATCGAGCTCTGGTGATATATATATATTTTTTTAAGTACTTATTTTTTTGTCTTAGATTTTTATTTTCTAATTCTAACATATCAATAGTGCAACCGTGTTTATAAAAACTAGTGTCAACAAATTCACGTGCCTTTTTTTGTAAATATATAGAAATTATCTCTTCTTTATTATTTTCTCGAGGATAGGTCATAGTTTGAAGAAGATTTAATGCATCACATACTTGATGATCAGGTAAATTACAAACACGTATAAATATATCATTACGTTTTCTTTGAATATAGGTGTTTATTTTTCGGGATTCAACTATTTTTCTTATCTTAGAATTAAAGTCATCATCGTCTAGTTGATTGAATGTTAGAATTAGTTGATCAAGCAACTCTTTTTGAACACAAGTATTTATTTCTCGAGATTTGAAGATATTTTTCATCCTAGAAATGAAGTCGTCATCATTTAGTTGAGCGAATGTTGGAATTAGTTGATCAAGCAACTCTTTTTGAACACAAGTATTTATTTCTCGAGATTCGAAGATATTTTTCATCCTAGAAATGAAGTCGCCATCATTTAGTTGAGCAAATGTTGGAATTAGTTGATCAAGCAACTCTTTTTGAACACAAGTATTTATTTCTCGAGATTCGAAAATATTTTTCATTCTAGAAATGAAGTCGTCATCATTTAGATGAGCGAATGTTGGAATTAGTTGATCAAGAAAATTTTTTTGATCATTAAAATTCATTTCTCGAGATTCAGTAATTTTTTTTATTATAGAACTAAAATCGTCATCATTTAATTGCATGAATGTTGGAATCAAATGATTAAGTACCATTAGGGGATTATTTTTAATATTCTTAAATATTTCCCCTTGTTCACATACTCGCGACTCTCGACTATTTTTAAGTTGTTTCTTTCGTGAATTTAGTCGACCCATTATGATGGTTCAATTACAATTACAATATGATGGGGATTCAAGAAATAGTTCTTGGCGTTTAGGATTAATGAATTTTATTGAAAATTGCAAGTAATTTATTATTTATCTACTAGGCTTTTTATCCCTAATACGAACCCATATCCTTTTATAACACTTCGCAAAATCATAGAAATTATAGAAATCACGAATCAGAAGTTGCAATCGATAATTAAAAGACAAGAGTAACATAATTGGGTTTAGAGAGTTGTAATTATTGTTTGTTTTGATATTACACTTTTTATTGCAGTACAGTAAAACCTCTTTAAGTGCACGCTTTCAGGACCAAATATTAACAAAAAATAATAAGAAAAGGTGCATTTATAGAGATCATATATATAGTCTAGCCAGAATTTGAGCATGCATTCAACTTAGAATATGCAAAGGTAAAATTTCCAAGTATTGTATTTTTAATGGTATGTTTAATAATGTTTATTAAGATATATAATATTCAACTCAACTAACAATAACAATATTCTACATGTCAAAGATTTTATTAAATAGCCAAAAGTTGTTGTTAGATTAATACAGTAAAACCTCCATAAGTGCGCGCTCTCAGGACCAAATTTTAACAATGTGCACTTAAAGAACAACAAGAAAAAAGTGCATTTATAAAGGTCATATATATAGTCGGGCCAGAATTTGAGTATGCATTTAGAGAGGGCGTGCATTTATAAAGGGTGTACTTATGAAGGTTTACTGTATATTTAAATTTACATTCACATTATTTGTAGTAATAACGCGTATTTTTTTTATAATAAACCATTTAATTACTTGAAAAATGTGTGGGTTGTCTTAATATATTCATGATAAATGACAAAGAAAAGCAAGCCCGTATTATTTAAATTCTACATTAAAACCTCTATAAGTGCGCGCTCCCGAGACCAAATTTTAACAATGTGCGTTTAAAGAACAAGAAAAAGTGCATTTATATAGGTCATATATATAATCGGGCCAGAATTTGAGCGTGCATTTATAGAGGGTACACTTATGGAGGTTTTACTGTATGTTTTAATAAATTGATACAATTATCATTATTTTACATAATAATTTACTGAGAATTACTATATTATGAATTGTTTCTATTGCACATACTTTAAAGTTATAGACACTAGGTGAACTTTTTATTTAATCAAATTTGAAAAGATCTAAGAATGCCCTTCGATTCTTAATGATTTAACAGTTTATTATAAAAAAAGTGCATAAATGAGTTGAATACAATTGTAATATAAAAATCCTTATAGAAGATTTTTATGCAACTTTATTAGTGATTGTTATGAAATTATACCCCGATCCATATAATTATTCCAATACACGGTTATTGAAAAGCTAATTGTAAATACAAATTTGGAAAATGCGTCAATAGGCCCATAACTTAAATCTTTTTAACATATCGATACGCATTAATGGCTCTCTAAATAGAAGATATAAATCCAAAAGAATGCTAATACCAACTTCATAATGTAATACAAAAAATTTTAACCAAATATATTTTCAATAGATATATTCATACTTTCCATATTTATATCAACAAGAAAATCTACTGAAAGTGTAAATACCGAAGCACTAATCATGAAAAAAATAAAATAATTAGTATTATTAGCATAATTACACGCATATATAATAATATTGATCTATCAAAACTCTTAAAGCACATCTAACCATATTTATATTGACAAAACGATAGAAACTGGCCGTATTTAAAAGTATAAACGTTTGGACTAATTCTAAAGACAATTAACATTGTTAACATAATAATGTGTCTATATAATAAATCTATAGAGAAACAAGCACATCCATATATAGGAACTATTTAAAATAGTATACTGCTGCAATCAAAGTGTGAACTCTAGGAAAACAATTAAATTAGCATTGTTAGCATAATAACAGCTTTGAACAGATATCAAGCGCGTTCCTACTTTCCATATTTATATCAATAAGAAAAACTACTCAAATAGCATATTGGCCGTATTCGAATGTGTAGACTCTAGTACTAATTCTAAAAAATAATTAAATAGTATTGTTAGCTAATAACAGATTCTAAACCAGAATAATAAGATATAAATTCTTGTAATTGTCATTTTTCGATTTTTAACAGCCGTTTTGCCTTTCTAGCGTGTCAAAGATTTCCAAAGGTGCAAGAACCTGAATACTTTTAGATATCTTAATATAACATTATTCTTATCTAAACTAGAACGTTTAAACGCCTAATTTGTGATAAAACTTTTTTAGTATTTTTAACAAAAATAAAAAAAGTATTACAATGAAACCTCCATAAGTGCACCCTCTATAAATGCACGCTCAAATTCTGGCCCAGCTATGTATATAACCTATATAAATGCACTTTTTTCTTGTTGTTCTTTAAGTGCACATTGTTAAATTTTGGTCTCGGGAGCGTGCACTTATAGAGGTTTACCATAAAAGAATTTAAATAATACGGACTGTCTTTTCTTTGTCGTTTACCATGAATATATTAAGACAACCAACACATTTTTCAAGTAATTAAATGGTTTATTATAAAAAAAATACGCGTTATTATTACTACAAATAATGTGAATGTAAATTTAAATATACATATAAGATTTAAAAGTTATATAAAGCCAGTACCTTTTCTTATCGTTTATCAAGTTTAGTTATCTATCAATATTACCTTCAGAATTCAAATTACTATGTCTACAACATCCTACTTAGTTATCGATTCCTCCTCTGAGTCATCTCCAGAGGACGCTCAATATTCTAAAAAAACTGAAAAGTCCATTAATAACTTTAAGGAACGATCAAAAAAGCGGAAATTTGAATCTGTTCAGAAGATTGATGACCCCGAAACACCCAAGCCTTATAAAATACGTAACAAAGCATGGGAAGAAGACTTTTCGCAAACCAGCAAAAGATCTTTTTATTTAACTATTGAACAGCAGCACATAGATTCTTTGAATCA